CCTTTTTAAAGTGTCCTCCCTTTGTTAGATAATTTTGTCAATGCTTAGTTTTGTTAATATTATAGTGTTTCAACTAAAACTTGTCCATTATGGCATTTAGGATTTCGCATTCAATTTTTAAAATTATCTCATGATAGCAAGTGACTATTATTGTTATTCAAAGAAAATTGGCCGGACAGTTTTCTGTAGTATAATTGTATCACGTGATATTGAGTTGTACTATGATATTGCTGTTTGGGTTCGAGGCAATAAATTGATCTCCGTTTCATACCTACAATGCTACTTAACTTCTGTGCTTTCAGATATTTGCATTAACTTTAAAAATACTTGATTTTGTTTCTCAATTGCTAAACTAACTTCTCCTTATTTAATTTACTAGATAATGAGTAATTGTGTTCTTTTTCTCGTTTTCTTTTTTCCGCCTGCAACTGCATGTACCTTTCACTTAACCTGGAATGCCAATGAATGGTTATCTCAGGTTTTCTATATTGTTATTTTCATGTTTATGCTGTTAATTTCGATTTTTAAAACTTAGAAAGGATCTTCACAAATTGAGTTGAAATAGAACGTGTTATACATTATCCTGCCAAAACTTTTCATTTATTAAGCAGGAGTAAATTTTGGTTAAATACTTGATCTATCAAATTTAAAAAAAACTGTTGAAGAAAGTTAGAAGGTCTGGTTGCATCTGTGGAGAGAGAAAAACAAAATTTACTGTCTGATATGCCTCCATTCCAAAGAAGTGTCATTTAAGATTCAAAAAGTCTGGTCACATCTCTGGAGAGAAAAGCAGAGTTCACAGTTTGTGTCTGATATGATTCTGCTTTGGAATGGAGCCATACCAGACAAGAAACCTTAACTTTGTTTCCCTCTCTACAGATGCTGCCAGATCTGTTGAGTTATCCAGCACTTTCAGTTTTTTAAAAAAAAAAATAAATTGTTTTTGTTATTTGTTTATCAGTTTGTTGTTCATTGTGAAATTAGGTGAAATGTGATGTTACATTAGGATTGCCATGTTTTTGATAATCCCAAAACAGAGTACAGAGTTTTGTGCAGTCGCACATCACAATTTTGTTTTTAGAGTAGCCATAAAAAAATTAAAATTTTACTCTGGTTTTACATTGTGAGAATTACCAGTCAGCCACATTTGGGCTGTTCCAAAGCCAGAATGTCCAGTTAAGTGTTGGCTATCTCAAATGATGAGGCTAAGCTGTAGTGATTTTTTGCCTAGCTAATGGACTATTCCAGTAACCGAGAAAGTACTTCGGAAATATCTGTTGCGATTTAATAATTGCTCACATGTGACTTTCTGTCTGTTTGACTTGTGCATTTAAATTAGTCATGGTAAATATATTGTAATGGTATTTTTAACTTAGTGGGGAGAGTTGAAGCCTGTTAAGAGACCTTTGAGGTAGGAGGGCATCTGTCCATTGTTATCAGACTTGCTTATTAAATTGTATTGACTGAGACATTTGTGTCACTGCAAATGAAAGATGCTTATTGATTTTCTAACTGCTGTTCACATCCCTTTCGCACTTTTTAGGATAAAAAGTTAATCATCTTGGATGCGTATTCATTCTCTGTGAAGGGAACAGACTAAACCTTCTTGGCATTTCATGAATCAAGTTGTTCAAGTTGAGTGTGTCAAGCAGACAATTACCAGCTTGCTCTTTACGCCTGTCCCTTGATATCACCTGTAACAGAGTAGCCTAATGGAGGGATGTCCCCTTGACATTTGATAGTAGTGGCAGTGCTCCAATCTTGTTTGTTTGCCAGAGAATCAATTCAGTACAATTCAGGACGTAATATAACCAAGCATTAAAGATGTGCTACCTGGTAGTTTAACAAAATTATCAGTGACAGTTCAATATTGACTTCATATTAAATGTTAAAAAAAGTTAAAATTATGATCCTCCAGCTTGTCATTGGGAAAATCAGTTATTGGCAGGTTGAAAATAGCTTTCTGCTGAGTCTCATTGACACAGGTTATGTGATATAAATATTTATTTCATATCTGTCACTCACTGGTAATGCCAGCCATTGATTCTAGTATTGATAAAGTGCCACTAGTTCATAGGAAGCATTTGACCATGCTGTGTTTTTGAATTACTTGCTGCTATACAAAGTATTATTTGCTAAGTCTTCTCAATTGCTTGCATTAATGCTTGAATGAAATGGTCACACCAGTGAGCAAAATAGCTGTAATGTTTTAATCAGAAGAATTTATTTATTCCAACAAATGTTATTTGAAGCTGTACAACAAATATTTTCACATGTTAGTTTTACTTAGCAGTGATTATTTTCAAAATATTTAAGCATTTGGTTATAAATCAGTTGCAATAAAACCAAAGTTTTGGCAATTGATTTTTTTGCACAGATTTTTCTTTTGTGCTATGAATTTGTCAATTTCAAAGAAGTTCATAGAAACTCTCATATCCTTTATTTCACCTGTTGCTGCTTTGTGTTGCAGCTGGTGGCTATTTAGAAAAGAACCAATATGTGGGAATAATTGCAAGGCAGTAATTTACTGATGGATTACAGATAATGCCCCTAAACTGGGAGGCCAGAACTTGAAAATCTTGAGGGTTGTCCCATGGTTCGCTTTTAGATTAATGTTTTGCAGTAGCTATATGGTATTTTGTATTATTGCTTCTCAGTATATTGTTTTAATTGTTACGTGTTTTGGAAAGTTGATTTTTTTTACTGAGTTCATGCCCATTTTGATGCCATTGCTGTAGATTTATTGACAAATAATTTGCACTTGACTTAATACGACATTCTGTTTGAGGTTGTACCTATCAGTGTTGTAACCAGGGTTCTTCTAAAGAGCATTGCTCTCAGTGTATAGAAAACTTAACCCCATGGTATATCTGATCGCGGTGTGCTTTTGTGAAATTTGGCAGCAACTCAAGGTAATCAACCATCAGTAATGACTTTAGCTCCCTGAATTTTACCCTACTATTCTTTACTGCAACTGAAAAGTGCTACATACACAAGGCAAAATTGGACGTACAGAAAATATAATTTTTAAGACAGGGTGCTTTTCCTAAAGCGCAGAACATAGCAAAAGTTCAGATATTTTTAAGTCCTACAGTGTGTAGCAAGCATGTCTAATTAAAAACTCTATCAAAAATGCTGTTTGGGTGTTTGAAAAACTCTTGTGGCATATTTACGCATCCATGAGCATGGTATGAATGGTTAAAAAAGAATTGCTGCTAATATTGTCTGTCCTGTTTGTCAGTTGGGCCATTACTGTGTTTGTAGCACAGTTGGGCAGGTGCAGTGTCCAGTGACAAATCATCTAATTTTTTTAAACTCCCTAGCACTGAATAATTGCAAATAGGAGCAGAAAGAGAAAGATCATGACAATCAGTTTTAAGTAGCCTTCAAGTTGCTAGATGGTGAGAACGAGTTAAACTGAACTGATGCAAAGCATTCAATTACATGATACATACAAAACTACATTATGTAATGTGTACCAGTGACAAAGAAATAAAACAAACACCCAGTGATGACAAAAGAAACATGGACAGTATAAATCTGAAATAAAAACAAATTTTACAAATCGAGGATAACAGCAACCTCCATTTATATAGAAGTGCTAATGTATAAACGTTCCCCAAAGCACTTCATGAAGGTACAAGGATGAAAGTTAAGATGGAGCCAGAGAAAGCTCTGTTAGGATGACCAAAAGCTTATTTGAAGCAGGGAATTTTGAGGAGTGTCCTAAAGCTTACAAAGGGGATAAAAATGGAATAGTATTTTGGGAGGGATTCCAGAACAAAGGGCCAAGCCAACTGGCTTCCAGTGGTTGGGCTGAGAACTGGTTAGGCTATGGACACAGAGTTTTGGATCAGCTGTTGTTTATGGGTGGTGGTGTGGTGGAGCATGGGAAGTCATTACAAACAGAAAAATGCATTCCTTAATTGTGTTCAATATTAGCATTGCGCAGGAGAACTGCAGCGGTTCAAGAAGGAAGCTCACCACCACCTTCTCAAGGGCAACTAGGGATGGGCAAGAAATACTGGCCAGCCAGCAATGCCCACATCCCACAAATGAATAGGAAAAAAAAAATTAGTCTGTCTTTCTATGATATTTTCTGTTCAAGACCACAGTAACAATGGGCAATCCTCCAACCTAATTTGTAAATGTCCATTTTGGAAATTATCCTTTAGCTGGATCTTTCCAAGGTGCACTAGCCCTGAAAGTTGAGAAGTTGGCTGTTGCTAATTTTACCACTTGCCCTACCAGAAACAAAATTATTTGATGTTTGGAGTTGAAGAATGATGTGGAGGTAAAGTAAAGGAAAGAACTGAATGTTGGCTATCTGTGCCTGTTTTGTTTTAATCTATATGCCGAACTGCTGTAGAGATTATTTCTTAACTCTCTTGCCAAGTTGCAACAATTGAAGTCTTTGACATTAACACTTCTGCAGCACCTGTCTCTTGTTTCTGTGTGACTGGCATTGAACGCTACAGACTTTGACAGTGCTGTCATGCGCTTTGAAGGATGGCTGCATTCCTACTTGTTTGTAATGAGGACTGAAGCCATTCTCGGCTAAATTAATTTTTCAGATTTGAGGCAGAATGGCATGATTTTAAACCAAATTCTCATTTTTGCCTTTGTATTGCCCTGAGGGTATGAATGATGCCAGTCACCTTTTTTTCCCTCTCTCTTTACACTACCCCCATCCCTCCACCATTAGTTGCCTCACACTGACCCACCGAAACCATGTTGTATCATTCAGTTTTGACATCTTTTATCAAACATTAATGAAATGACCCAGGCAAACAAATTGTCATTAAACTTTCCATCACTTTGTCCCTTGGTATTGTCTTTTATAAATTGAACAGCAAATGTTGTATTGATCTTTTCCCACTTGCTGCTGAACTTGAAATGACCTGGATGCTTGTTGTTTATGGCCTTGAGTTACTTTTCCTTGACATTTCTATACACTTGCCTGACATTACTAGCTTTTTTTCTACCTTCCTTTCTTTTAGATGAATGAACAGGACATTCAGTATCGAGATATCCTCGGTCATGGCAATGGAGGGACAGTATACAAGTGAGTATCTGCCTCTACCTATTACCACGGAATATGTGAAAAATGTTGGTAAAGGGTTTTTTAATGTCTTTCCAGCATCCATCACACAGTTTTGGCTGAAGGCATGCATATCATATTGATTTGATGTTGAAGAATGAAAACGATTCTGTGGGTGCCTTTCTGTGTACACTTTACACTTAGTCATTTCCATTACAGCTATGATGTATTATCAGTGTTCAGCAAACATGACAAGGTGACACAGGTCGCTGAACAGAAATTTCAACTCCTGTTTCCACCTGAATCAACTATTATTGAAATAGTTTATTGAGATTGAGGTATTGATCACTGCTTGCACTAACCTTGGCTTAAAGGGAGACTGTCTACTCTGGATTGCATGAACTTTTATAAAAGAAACATCCCATTTATTTTTTACAACCACTTAAATTTTATAGCAATGCATTGAATTACTTTGTTGTGTCTCTTTCATTTCAAAATGCTCACACTCTTCACCTACCTGGATTAGAGTTCACAGACTTCAATTGCTAATTGACAAAACATTAAAAAAAACACATTTTCAGGTGTGTGTAGGGAGAGCAGCAAGTAAGTAATGCTTTGTTTAATGGACATGTTTGTGTTCTGTTCGTTGAACATGACTTTTAAGCATTTAACTAAAACTGAAAGATTCTTGTGCCAACATTTTATGGCATCACCTTCTCAGATGCCTATTGTGTTGTACAAGTAGCTTTTCACTCAATTGGATACAGTTACATTCTGTTATCTGCAACATTATCTCATGTCATATATGCTAGTGATTAAAACCTCACTGCATTAGCCAGAGATCCATCTGCTTTGTTTTGTGTCTGCAGTAAATTAGGTGTGATTTTTTTTACATCAGGTAATTATTTAGCAGCTAATTGAAGCAAAGAACAAAAGAGAGAGAGGGGGTGAAATGAGTAATCTCCCTCTAGTTAGAATCTTCCCTAGTAACCTTGTTTTCCAAATACTTTCCACTCCTGAATATAACCAGTATATTGTAATCACTTTCTTAGTTTAGAACTAAATTACTCACTTGAATACAATATCTATGTGCCATTAGCAGTTGTTATATAAATCAAATTATCTTACAGCTATGAATTGGTGGTAATATCTGCCAGTACCTTTTATCTTGAAAATAAACAAAAGAAGTGAGTGGTACAGAATGAGCTGGTGCAGCGGTATACTTAGAACACAGCAGGCTTGTTGTTTTGTTGTCAATTGTAGTACCTCACAATAATGTGATGTTGAGCGAAGCCAAGTCAAGTCATCTCCATGTAAAAAAGGGGGAAGAAACGTCACCTCTGCACTTCGGTTGTATTGTTCCTGCTGGTTGGATGAGGGAATACTCTCCAAGCCTGAAGAACAATTTTATGTGTGGTCCCTGCAAACTTTGGAAAAAATTAAGAAAATTCATAACACTACTGAAATATGATGAGGAAAAAGATCTTGAAATACATGAGGTGTCTTATTTTCTTGAGAATGAATGTTAAAGACAGAGTTTTACTGTGATCTTGGACTTAATATTTCCACTCATCCTCTCTCCCACTTATCCCCTCCGTTCCTTGTTGTGCTGATTTCATATCCATGTCCTTTATTTATTTTTATTGGTTAGATTTTCCAAGTAACTCTGCAGTCAATCACAAATAAACAGAGAAAACTGAGCACAGACAGTTCTTTCTCCTTTTATCTGTGAATTTGTTGTATTTTTGCAGAAATAGTTAATGCGTTAAGTCATAAGTTGCACGTTTATTACTTTCACTGATGTGAATGATCACCATCTGAAAATGTGAAATTGTCATTAATTGTTTCATATATGGCATATTGCAGTGTTCAGTGACATTTATATTTCTTCTCTCTCAGATGCTGAGTAACTCGTGTATTTCTAAGATTCTCAGTCTTAATGTCAATTCAGTAATTTTTAATTGCCTCTTTCTTCCATCACCTTGTATTTTAGACTGGATAAATTCATTATGCACCCTTTGCATGAGTCATTAAACTGAGGTTCATCTGCCCGCTTAAGTTGACGGAAAAAGATCCATTGGCACCATTGCGAAGATATTCCTAATATCTCAATAAATGTTATTCCCTCAAATCAACATAACAGAAACAGAATGTCTGGTTATGTCATATTGCTGATTGTGGGAGATTGCTCTGTGTAAATTGGTTGCCGTGTTTCCCCACTTCAACGGTCTCTACACTCTACATTGTAAAAGTGCCTACAGGCATTGCATAATTGTGAAGTGCAGTATTTAAATGCAAGTCTCTCTCTCTCTCTCTCTCTCTCTCTCTCTCTCTCTCTCTCTCTCTCTCTCTCTCTCTCTCTCTCTCTCT